AAAGCTTTCCTACGCTTTTCATCATTTTTCCGGAGAAAAAAGGTGACCTTTGACTTAAATACACTGAGAAATGTTGTTGTTTTTTAAAAAAACTTAATCTATTATAGCCAGTTGTTATATAGCTACAGACACATGATCAGCAACAGGACGCTTCCGTGCGCGTGCTGTGAAATTACATTCCCGTCTCGTGAATGATTATTCAGCAATTTTTCTCATACTAAATCATTGATTCGAGCATGCAGATGTACGTAAAGCTCAATCTATTGCTGCAATCAACATTTAACGAGTGATTTGAATAAATATGCTTATCAGCATGTATCATTCTGCTCCAGTCCGCCACACGCGCCAATAACATGAGGGGGCGTGTCTGTGTTTTTGTAGATACGCACTTCCGTCGTTAGCTTCACATCAGCTGGCACAAACGCGCCACCCAAAGACAAGGAGAATAGTTTCAAATCAGATTTGTATTTATCTTTGTGTACTGGTTTTTGCCATTTCCTTGTTATTGTTATTTTATCTTTTTTTTTTTTGATCGTGTAAATGTGTGTCTGTGATTAAATGTTAGTAGGCTATATAGGCTACATCTGAAAAGAAGATATAGCTACAGTAAACTGCCAAGCACAGTGACATAATTTTTCCAAAGACTAAAGAATACCTTAAAGTGACTTCAGTCAAACTGTTTATATAATATTAATTCAAATTAAAAACTACACTAACAACTTTTAAATACCCCTAAAGCTCCTTCCCGCATCCAAACACACATTCCTGTGTTCCCAATGAGTGCAGGAGCAAAATATAGCTACTCAAGTTTTGGGCAAATGTTCCTGCTGAAAGGGACTTCATAGATCTGGCATATTTGGAGATGACAGGAGTGTGTCAGACCCACATGCTAAGTATAATTCTTTTAACATAAAAAAAAACACAGAGAGAGAAAAGTACATTTTGCATTATGTTGTACAACCCACCTACAATTTTAATAACATTATAACATGATAATCTAGAAAAGTTATCCATTCCTATTATGCTTCAGTTCTTAGCCTCTCACTTTACCAGTTTATATTTATCACTTTGAATTGTAATTTGGATAATAAATTTACCAGGTAAGTGACATCTTAAAGGGGAGATACACTATATGTCCCTCTATTTACTTTTTGAAGCGCAAAGTACCAGGATGTGATTCAGCTGCAGACAGTGACTAAAATTAACTGTCAAATGGCCTCTTTGGAGAGGAGATGAAACTGGTTTACCGAGGAGAACCACTGTATCAGATTTTTATTTGCCACAAGTGGTTTGACATTTTTAATTCTCTGAATTCAACATTGAGAAAATATAGGAACATATGGAAAACATTACATTACAGACTGAGATAATGATTATAAAAATACTGATTATAAAAAATGGGTATAGAAAAATTACGTAATAAGAACATGAAATAAAACAAACTGTTGTCTACATTTACAATTATTATATGAGTAAATAAAGGTTCCCATATGCTTGTGAATGTAATGTGCCAATGCACAAAAAATATTAAATATTTTTGAATAAATTTACCAGGTAAGTGACATCTTAAAGGGGAGATACACTATATGTCCCTCTATTTACTTTTTGAAGCGCAAAGTACCAGGATGTGATTCAGCTGCAGACAGTGACTAAAATTAACTGTCAAATGGCCTCTTTGGAGAGGAGATGAAACTGGTTTACCGAGGAGAACCACTGTATCAGATTTTTATTTGCCACAAGTGGTTTGACATTTTTAATTCTCTGAATTCAACATTGAGAAAATATAGGAACATATGGAAAACATTACATTACAGACTGAGATAATGATTATAAAAATACTGATTATAAAAAATGGGTATAGAAAAATTACGTAATAAGAACATAAAATAAAACAAACTGTTGTCTACATTTACAATTATTATATGAGTAAATAAAGGTTCCCATATGCTTGTGAATGTAATGTGCCAATGCACAAAAAATATTAAATATTTTTGGGGAAAAGTCTTGCCATGCATTGCTTTTTAATAGTTGTTTAATTTAGTTATTTAAATCTTATTATAAAATTCTTCGTTTGTGTACAGGAAACAGTATTTTTGAAACAAATGTATATTTATAGTTATTAATAACAAAGGATGTCAGAATGTATTTACATTTTAAAACAATTTCTCAAGCACTGTAAATATACTTTATGACCAGACATGAATTGTACCGTCAGAGCCTGCAGACAGAAGGTATTCCCCTTTATGGTCAAAAATAACACTCTGAACAGCATCTTCATGAGCTATTAGACTCGACGTATGTAAAGATGCCACTTCTACAATTTTAACAGTGCCATCATTACTCGCCACCGCTAGAATTCTTCCATTTGGATTGAAGGCCACTTGATTGCTGGGATGAGGCCCAGTGTCCATGGTCACCATTGCTAAAGCATTCCTCACATCCCATAATTTGAGCACCCCAAAAGAGTCACACGAAGCAATTGTGTCACCTGTGGCATTGAAGGTGGCATAGTTGCATGAATGCTTGTGCCCGTAGAAAGTCTGGGCGCACAATCCAACACGGGCATCCCAAAGAGAGAGGGTCTTGTCTGCTGAGCAGGTAAGTAAAATGTTTGAGAAAGGCAGGAAAGAAATGCTGTTCACGGAGTCAACATGTCCACGCAGAGTGCATCGGCAACGCTCACTATTCAAGTCCCACACTTTAGCCGTGTTATCCATAGAGCAAGAGGCCACAAAATCACCACAGGAATGGAAGGAACAAGCCCAGGTGGTGTGAATGTGTCCCTCCAAACTGAGCACACATCGACCTTGAGCAAAGTCCCAAATTTTAACTGTGGTGTCCCCACTTGTGGTCCCCAGGTAACCACCGCTGGGATGGAAATTACATGATGACAGCCAATCAGTGTGACCCTCGCCAGTCATGATCATCTCTCCCTCTGGTATTCCCCATGATCTCCAAAGCTGGTCATCACTTGAGGAGGCTACTATCATTTTACGAGGATGGGGAGCGAGGAAGCTCACTGCCATCGTGTGCACTTTAAAAGACTTGAAGAGAGAGAAGTTGGCTGATTTGGTGTTGAGTGACGAAAGAGCTTTGATTTGTGGCAAGTAGGGATTGACTCGAGTGCTTGCTGGGAATTCAGAGTCTTTAGGATGCCTTGTGTTTTTGTTGGGGTCTTTTATAGCATAATTTGATGCAATGTTGTCACATGGAAGGTGTGCACCTTTTTCTGGACTCTTCTGGATTCTTTCTCTTTGCTGTTGCGTGTTAGCACATTTCCGGGTTCCTGGGGAAGAATGCGCGGTACGAAGAGAGCCGTCTATGTTCTGAACCTGGCTGACAGCTCTGTCTCTCTCCAGACTAACCAGCATCTTCTGCCTCACGGTTGTTTGATACTTCTCGTTTAGTTGCCTAAGAGCAGGCTCGTAGGATGCATAGTGTTTCTTCAGCTTTTTAATGTCCTCAATAAGTCTATTCTTCTCTTGAACAACACGCTTGTGCTGCATCCTATGAAAGTCCCTCTCTCTTTGAAGTTTTACTATGGTTTCTCCAGCTTCAAATGCAGCCAGTTTATAACTATCCCGCTCTCTTTGTACGTTTTTCAGCTCGTTGTCCAGGAGCTGGTTGTGTGTATAGACATCATGGACGAGTTCCATGTGGTCTGTTTTCATTAAGCCTTTGTGTATCATCTCAAACCACTCGATTTGGAAGCAGTCTAATGTTCTTTTCATACCCATTTTTACCAGATAATTGCGGACAAAGTCGTCCACCACCTCAGGTATTTTAGGAACTGGATGTTTGGCCAAACTGACCCTCTGAGACTGTGTTGTGCATTCGGTGGCATCAGTTTGATCCTGCACTGCTTTAACAGCAGTTTCCAAGTCCTCTTCCCCCTCAGGTATGCTGAGTTCGTCGTCGACAGTCACTTCGTCGTATTTATAGTCATCCTCAGAGTCTTCTGAAATTAAAACTTTCTCTAGGTAATATGGACCATCAACGGATTCTTCTGCTACTTCGTATCTGGCTGCCATTTTCCCACGTCGCTTTGTTGTCCTATACAAAGTTGTGTATTGTTTCCATGGTGACCGTGAGACCGTGACCATGAGAACTGTTTTCGTTTAAACACTATGTTGTAAAGATGATTCCATGCTATTTTTTACCCGTTTCATTTAAAATCGACCTATGGGTTAAATCGTGAAATATATCAAATGTACACAAAACTATAAACTACAGTTTTACACAAACTATTAAATGTACACATAATAAAGCTTACTTTTAATTAAACTTTTACATTTTTGACAACGTCGTAATTTGGAAATTATTCGGGATTATTTTTTAACCTTTAATTTCATGCATGTGATTAAAAGGGTAAATATGTCGGCTTCAAAGGTCATCATAAACAGTAGATGGCGCTCAAGGAGCAGTGAACTGAGCGAATTCCACACTAAACTGGTTTTAAAAACGGAATGTACAATTATAAATCTATGACAGTTCTGTAATAATGCTGATAAAGAATGTTGTCTTTGAAATAATATAATTTTCTTTCTTTCTTTTTGTGTACTTGAATGTCCACGCAAATTGGTTCAGGTGTAAGGAATAAAAAGCACGATAGGTTTTGGTAATTTTGTTCGAGCATAAATTAACAGTTATATAACTGGTTAGTCAATACAGGCAACTTTTATATATTTTAATATGGTCTATATATTAATATGCACTTACAAAAGTAGCCTAGATATAATAATAATAACAACAACAACAATAATAAAAATAATGATTATTATTAATATATGAAATATAATATGAAATGTTTAGGCTAAATGGGTAAAGTTAGAATTGATAAGTATCTTTAAACTGAATCGCACAGCCTGAGGCAGAGCCCTTCACCGCAGAACCAATCAGATGCTGTGGCTGAGTTTTGGAAGCTGAAGCATCAGTACAAAGGTCGGTGTGCGCGAGCTTTTGCAACGACCAGTCAGCGAGAGCCCAATGGATCACTGGTTTCTGTAAGACTTCATGAAAGCCAGAGATATGAGCAACGAAGCAGAGGGGGATAATCCAGATCAAACAAACAGCAAATGTAAATCACATACTCTGTTGTCCTCGTACTGCATCGACAGTATTCTAGGAAGGAAAAGTCCCTTAAAAGTTCAAGGTTAGTCGTTACTTCTTTAATTTTGTGATTCTGTTTTAGCTGTTTTTACATATGTTGCCCACTGAATTGCATTATTTTTTTGTAAACTCAACAATGGTTTTCAATAGCTGAAGCTACTGCCTTAGAATTTAGCCTATTTTAATGGTCTTGAAATAGGGAAAGATCATTACAGTGTCCTTGTAACAAATATCGCATGCTATTATCTATAATTAATTACAACAACAATTTGCAGTTATACAAGTAGGCTATAGCGTAACTATATAAATGTTAAATAGCCTACAAAACACACAGGCTGTGAAATTATAGAATTGACAATAAAACTGGTCTTTTAGAGGAATCCTCTAAGTTTAATTAGTATCTGTAACTTAATTTATCCTGTTGATAATTACTTAGATAAATTATTTTTGCTTACAGCAACACCAAACCGTTTGTGGCCCCTTCAAGCAGACATGCACCTGCCGCCGAAGCTCCGCCGCCCCTTCGCCCCGTTGACAGACTCCTCCATTCACACAGACGCAAATGAGGCAGGGGGCCCAAGACTGCTACACACAGCCTGTGGAAAATTAAAAATGACAGAGGCCTCGCTTGTAAACACCAGTCGTACCAGATTGTATCAGGAGCATGCTTCTCTACAGTCATGTAGAGACACATCTTGTCCCACGCCAATACCAGAGGAGGAAGAAACCGACAATGAAAGACTAAGTAGAGAGACAACTGTGTCTTCGGGTCTAATGGGACTGCAAGAACGAGAGGCATATTTGAAACACAGTGAGGAAACTACTTTATCAGCGGGAAGTGACACTGAAGATGGGATGTTAAAACGAAAACAGAGGAGATACCGGACCACATTTACCAGCTATCAGCTTGAGGAGCTGGAAAGAGCTTTTCAAAAGACTCATTATCCAGATGTTTTCACAAGGTAACGGCAAAACCAACAACTTATGCAAATATAACCTATATATAAAAAAGGGATTCACTGATGATTGATGGTTGGAAGGCGCCATTCGTCACATCTTCATTAAGACAACATACTTAATAATGTTCAGTAGCTATATTAAAAGCAGCCATATGAAAATTGTATATGCTTAAATAAAAAAGTCATACAATAATAATTTTGATTTTATCGGTTGTATTTTTTAAAAGGCGATCAATTATTTTAGTCGCTGCTACTTTTCGTTGCAAAACCTTTACATTAACAGTTTCAATAGCACAGGAGCTGTTCGAATTTGAATAGCCTATTTGTCACTAGAATGAAATCGAATAAATGTACATAGTTTTATTTTTAGTCAGATTTATGGTCAATAGTAAAGGAAAACAAAATGAGATAAGACACTCGACCCACTACTTGTTTTTTCTCTCTAATTTAAGGGAGGAATTAGCAATGAGACTTGATCTTACAGAAGCACGAGTGCAAGTAAGTCACTTTCTTATTTATCTCACCCTTTTCAACATTCACTATTAATCTGTTCATCTGTTCACGACTGGGCACAATATCTCAACAAGAATAAAAAACACTGAAAAAAATCAAATCAACGAATTCTAAGTTCTAAAGGTCACCGTTAAGTCTAAAACATTTAGGCTATATGCGTTTTTATATATATATATATATATATATATATATTAAAATTCTACATTAAGCTAGCAACAGTTAATGCGACTGGCTATCTAAAATATATAAGATTCGTATTAAACATACAGCCACTCGTATATCGTTGCTATAATATAGGCTACTTGGACTTGGTTCAGCAGCTTTTTTTTCTCGATACATTATATTGAAAATGTACCTAAAAATCTAACAAGATCTGTTTATTATTGTTTATATAAGATATTACATCATATTTATATAACAGGGAAAATGGCGCAAGTAGCCTATATATAAAAGATTCGTGTATTTAGATGTTTTGGAGAATCGCATATTTATTTATTTATTTTAAATTGCACACAATTATGGCCTAGAAAGTTACTATTGCGTTTTTCTTTACATTTCCACTAAATAGTGTATATTTGTATATACTTTTATACTTTTTTATATTCTACCTTCATTCAACAACTTTCCGTGTTAAAGGGACAGTTCACCCAAAAATGAAAGTTATGTCATCATTTAGGCCAGTGGGTCTCAATCCTGTCCTGGAGTACCCCCAGCCCTGCACATTTTTTATATAAGATATTACATCATATTTATATAACAGGGAAAATGGCGCAAGTAGCCTATATATAAAAGATTCGTGTATTTAGATGTTTTGGAGAATCGCATATTTATTTATTTATTTTAAATTGCACACAATTATGGCCTAGAAAGTTACTATTGCGTTTTTCTTTACATTTCCACTAAATAGTGTATATTTTTATATACTTTTATACTTTTTTATATTCTACCTTCATTCAACAACTTTCCGTGTTAAAGGGACAGTTCACCCAAAAATGAAAGTTATGTCATCATTTAGGCCAGTGGGTCTCAAACCTGTCCTGGAGTACCCCCAGCCCTGCACATTTTGTATGTCTCCCTCATCTATCACACCTGATTCAACTCATCAGCTCATTAGTGGAGACTGCAAGACCTGAAGTTGGTGTGTCAGATAGAGGGAGACACAATGTGCACTGCTGGGGGTACTTCATGGAGAGGTTTGAGAACCACTGATTTAGGCTACTCTCTAGAATGACTTTCTTTCTGCTTCAGGAATACAAATGAAGATATTTTTGTAGCGTTCATTTTGTTGTGTTCCATAGAAGAAAGAACATCATACAGGTTTGGAAACACTGTGAGAGTTTACATTTTTGGGTGCAGAATTTACATTTTTGGGTGGACTCCTTTATGGATATTCTCAGACAAGTTTGTATATTTCTTGTCATGCCAACATTATTCTATTCAAGTCTAATACAGGCCTTCACTAAGGGGACATAGTGACAGTATTTCTTTGCTAAATGGAAAAAAACCTCCTCTAACTACTTGTAATTGACAAAAGCATTGTTTCCTCTCAAGGTCTGGTTCCAGAATCGACGTGCAAAATGGAGGAAAAGGGGAAAGGCGGGGGTCCAGTCACACACTCTGAGCCTACACTATCCTGGAACCCCCCCTGCTGCACAGTCCTTGTGTCATTACCTGAGTGGGAATCCTTTTGTCCCAAGCCCACATCCAGCTATTGATTCATCTTGGCCTGCCCCACTCCAAAGACTTGCTCAGCCTCCCCCAAACCCTGCCTCCCCTCATGGCTTCAGTGCTCTGTTAGGGGCGGCCATGTTTAGACCGCACGCTTTCCTTAACCCCACTTTTGGAAGGTGCATGAGCTTCATCTGCATGTTCAACACAAACCATTAAGTTTATTTATTTTTACCTTTCACATTTCATAATGGTTATAATATCCTGTTACATTTCTCATCAGACTTTTTACAAGCTTAGGTCCAATGGCACTGCAAAGGATACCCCTTCCTGCCATCGAGAGTCCAATTCAACGCTCCCACCTCACCAACAACCTTCTCTCCTCTTCACCACCCTTACCTTCATCTCCAACGGTGGACCTACGCGCTTCCAGCATAGCAGCACTGCGTCTCAAAGCAAAGGAGCATTCTGCTCAGCTGACTCACATCACAGCTGCTGGAATGGCTGGAAAAGATGAGTGCTAAGACTCACTCTCACTTGAGAGATGGCAAAAGACCAAAGTCAAGCAGAAGCATTGATATCTGGAGAGTTAGGTGATTATTAATAGATACATTAATAGACACATGTTCAGTTTCTGGAAGTTGAACTGTAGCATTCTAAAGCTTTATTGTTTGCTTAATGTTGGTTGTTAATGAGTACTGAATGTTTTTTTTTTTTCATTAGTTAAATGATCTTTTTAGATAATTTCATCCTGTTTTCATTAGGAAATAGATAAAACAATCATCAAACTTAACAGGACAAGCTGCTTTTAATCTGTTACACATCCAACACTTTTTCAAGGTTTGTTCTGTAACAGTAAAAGGGATGTTTAATATTTTGTATTACAAAAACTTTAAATTGAGTGTGCATGGCTAAATTCATACTGTCTGTGTTTGGGATTAACAACCGCATTTACTTAGCCTACATGTGAGAGTCTCGAAATGTCCTGTTCACGCAGCAGCTTACAACAGATGCTTGAGTACTGTGTATTAATGTGCAACTCGCAAAAATTGACTCTGGCGTGCATATGATACGCAAGTGTTTGGTGTGCAATAATACACAGTTTTCGCGTGCATATGATACGCATTTTGTTGGCGTGCATATGATACGCAGTTTTCGCGTACGTACTGTATGATACGCATCTACCCCACAACCCTAATACCTATTGCGTATCATATGCACGCCAAAGTCAATTTCTGCATATAAACAGTACAAATCTAAACATAAATTTGTGCTATTGATACGCACTTTCATGAGATCGGGTTAGCTGAACTTTTCCACGACATTCTAATTTATTGAGATGCACCTGTAAATGAACGACAGCACTTTTTAGGCAACCTGAGTGAATGCAGAGCATTTGAGTCGTGAGCAGAACAAAAAAATGACGGGAGCAGGTCAGGTAAAGGACACATCTACGTCTCTGTTAGTTACCGAAAACCACACATGAAAACTCGCAACTCTTGGTAGACACGCTTATCTGCAGCGCACAGTGACTCTCTTACCATATGTGACAGACAATTATGCTAGTTGATCTAGTTGTCCAGTCTTGACAAATCGGTTCCTCCCTCAAAATCGGGTTTCCATATCATTAATCGTTGTATCAAGTAGCCACACAAACTAATATTAATTTAAAACATCTATATAATTGATCAGCATATAGTGCATATTAAAACAAATGGGACACAATATAATTTAACTTGATAAATAATAATAATAGAACACTGTTAAACATTTGGACATTTATCACTTGATTTAGCATGTAGAGATTAGATTAATAAAGATTGTTGTGAATGCATGATGTGTAAGTACAAATGTGTGGTGTATAATTAAGGTAAGCAATCAGGCTAATCAGGTAGGCCTTTCGTTTCACTATTCTAGTTCTCAAGCTAACTAAACTAGACATTAATGGTTGTTTTGTAGGAATTGTAATTAGGTGCTAAAGAGAGTAGGCCCAAATATTCTTCAAACCATGGGATCACTTAGAGATTGTTACAGTTTGGGTGCTATTAAAAGCGTATGACGCAGAAGAAATCCAAATAACAGTCTTTAATGATAAAGCCACAGAAGGACTCCAAGAGTATGGGATGGCAACACAACAATCACCGACAAACTACAGAACAGAAGGAAGACTTTATGTATGGCAGCTGACGAGGGGAAAACAGGTGAAGGGAGTTAACTAATAATGACTAACAAGCAAATGAATCAAAAACCAATAGAAAGTTATAGACAAGGGGACTCAGGGAAATGTGGAGGCAGAAACAGAACCAAAACAGAACATAACCATGACAGAGACTCAGTTTCGAAAGAGGACCCAACTTGTCATGACACTGATTTAGTTTATGCAACAGGACTTTGCCGAATGTTCTGTCCTGAAAAATTATGGACGCAAGTTCAGTTTTAAAATGTAGTTGTCATTTCTGTAAATAACCAAAATTATGTTTAATCAAATACAGGACTGACAACCTGTGTAAACATGGACAATTAATCATGAGTTTCAAATTAAATTGCAGTCAGTGATGCCTCCATGGTTGTACTAGAGGCCTACTGTTGCATAATTATACATTCCAAAGGCAGATATGAGCATTACGAATCACTGAACAAACTCTACTTAAATAATAATATATCTTTTGGTGTTTGCTTGTTTCTAAAAAGGGGCAAGTTGTTTTAAAGAATAGAATTAGAATAGAGATCGCTAGAGTTAGAGGGTTAAATAAAGATGGAAGAGATGTGTTTTTAGCCAAGTCTTGAAGATGGAGCAGGAGAAGGATTCAGCTGCTCGGATTGAGTTGGGCAGGTCATTCCACCAGGAGGAAACATTTAATTTAAAAGTCCGGGAAAGTGATTTTGTGCCTCTTTGGAATGGCACAATAAAGCGACGTTCACTTGCAGACTGTAAGCTTCTAGAGCAGGGGTGGCGAATGTCGGTCCTGGAGAGCCGCAGCCCTGCAGAGTTTTGCGTCAACCCTAATCAAACACACCTGAACAAGCTAATCAAGGTCTGAAGGGTTACTAGAAAGCTACAGGCAGGTGAGTTTTAATTAGGGTTGGAGCTGTACTCTGCAGGGCTGTGGCTCTCCAGGACCGGAGTTCGCCACCGCTGTTCGAGAGGGCACATAAGTCTGAATTAATGAATTTAGGTAAAGGGGTGCAGAGCCAGTGGTGGTTTTGTAGGCAAACATTAATGCCTTGAATTTTATGCGAGCAGCTATTGGTAGCCAGTGCAAATTGATAAACAGAGGTGTGACGTGCATTCTTTTCGGCTCATTAAAAATGTATCTTGCTGCCGCATTTTGGATTAATTGTAAAGGTTTGATAGAACTGGCTGGAAGACCTGCCAAGAGAGCATTGCAATAGTCCAGCATGGACAGTACAAGAGCTTGAACAAGGAATTGTGAAACATGTTCCGAAAGAAAGGGCCTGATCTTCTTGATGTTGTATAAAGCAAATCTGCAGGACCGGGCAGTTTTAGCAATGGGGTCTGAGAAAGTCAGCTGATCATCAATCA